GTGTGTGTCCTTGATTTCCAATCCTATTATCAGCAACAAAAAACAAAAAACAAACTCTGAAAATCACTTTTCAAAATCATCCAGTAAAGCTTCATTTGACTAACTCCAACTACTATTACTACTACAATTACTTTTAAAGATATGATAAAACATGTACTTGCATACATCATTGATAAAAGTGTGAACAGTTTCAACATTTCAAATACGATTTCATAATATCTAAGGAACTTTAATACTATTACTACTGGAAATGGAAATTCTAATTCTAGGAATCACAGGATTTTCCATAACTACATATCTACACAGATGTATACTGTAATTAAAAAAATCTGGAAATAGGGGCTGGGAAGGTAGCTCAGTGGTAGAGCACTTGCCTTGCATGCCTGAAGCCCTGGGTTTGATGCCTCAGCACCACATAAGCAAAAAGAAAAAACCCGGAAGTGGTGCTGTGACTCAAGTGGTAGAGCACTAGCCTTGAGCTGAAGAGCTGAGGGACAGCGCCCAGGCCCAGAGTTCAGGCCACATGACTGGACCAAAAAAAAAAAAATCTGGAAATAGTCTCAATGTCCAAAAACATGGGAACAAACGAGGACAATACCTAGTTAATGTGAAATACACATAGCTATTAAGAGTAACAACTATAGCCAGGCAACTCATGCCTGTAATCCTAGTGACTTAGAAGGCTGAGATATGTGAATCACAGTCCAAAACCAGCAAAAGCATGAGACTCATCTCCAATTAACCATCTAAAAACTAGAAGTAGAGCTGTAGCTCAAAGTGCAGAGTACTAGCCTTAGGCAAAAAAAATCTCAGGTACATGCCTACGCCCTGAGGTGAAGCTCCACAACTGATCCCCAAAAAAAGTTACAACTATAAAAAAGGTATTAAAAAACATATAATAATCTTGAAAATACTATGTTACATTAAACAAAAAAAGATAAAAACATGTATTATTACTAATAAAACTACACAAAATTAGAAGTACTAGAAAAAAATTCAAAATTAGCAATCATTGCACATGAGTGTAGAGTTTGCAGATTATTTTTCTCTTTCCTACTTATGTCATTTCCCTTTTTCTTATTTGGAGATAAGATCTTGCAATTTGTCCCAACTTCTGAACTCAAGAGATCCTCTCACCTCAGCTGCTTGACCAGCTAGCACTAAGTAGCCACCAGCTTTTATGCCCTACACTGTATTTCTACTTTTTTCAAAGAGATAAGTAGTCATTTCTTTAATTATACAAGTAAATATATGCCTACTTTTTCAAAAATACAGAAATATTATGCAACCTTTCCCAGAGTTAACTTACACTATATTTGTGGTAAGTTTATATAATTTTTTTTGGGGGGGTCGGTCATGGGGCTTAAATTCTGGGCCTGGGCACTGTCCCTCAGCTCTCCAGCTCAAGACGAGCACTCTACCACTTGAGCCACAGTGCCATTTTCAGTTTTCTGGTGGTTAATTGGAGATAAGAGTCTCATGGACATGACTGCATAGGCTGGCTCTGCACTGTGATCCTCAGATCTCAGCCTCCTGAGTAGCTAGAATAACAGGCATGAGCCACCGGCGCTTGGCTACAATTTTTTCAAAGGAGGATAAAATCATCACCACCAAACTTTCTACATATTATAAGGCCATGAACAGAGTTCCTATATATTTCATTTCTTTAGACTCAACATTTAAACTTTTCTTATTTTGGTTAAACATTTAGCAGTTACAGGGTAAATTTAGTTGTTTTTAGAATTATTTTTCTTGAGAGTAATGCAAAATTCAGTATTCATTTTGTTTGTTAAATTAAATTTGGCTCAATATTTTTGTTTGAAAAACAAAATATATTGTGTAAATGTTCCTAAATTACAATGCTTTACTTAAGTATTTTCCCTTTTTATTAGCATAGCATTCGCTGATTATACTCTTATTTTTGTATAAAAAGATTACAGCAAACCAAAACACAAGTAACAACCTGAAAATAATGCAGCTTATGAATATCTTTAATGCTAAAACACACACAAACTCACTTCTCATCTTCCATCTAACTGGATCTAGAAGTGAATAATAGCAAGCTTGGTTTTTTTGTTTAAGGAAAAATAATGTACCTATTTCCTAATAAAAGTTAATGGCCTTAAGTAGGTAGAAACTATATAGAGAAACCCTGAACATCTATTTTATCAATTGACTCCATGATGTCCAGTGATCACATTTTTACTTTACCATATAGGACAATTAGGTATGACTTAGCTGTCAAATATTTTTTAGACTCCATTAATCTAGATCTATGTTCAAGGGCTTTTTTTTTTTTTTTGGGGGGGGCTGGTCCTGGGGCTCAAACTCTAGGCTTGGCACTGTTCTTGAGCTCCATTTTGCTCAAGGTTAGCATTCTACCACTTGAGCCATAGCTCTACTTCTGGATTTTTCTGTGATTAATCAGAGGTAAGAGTCTCATGGACTCCCCAGGCTGGCTTTGAACCACACTCCTCAGATCTCAGCCTCCTGAGTAGCTACTGTCAGCATAACTGACAGTTTTGAAGACTACATAATGCAATCCCTTTTTGCAAAAGAACAATGTTAGGATGAGTCTGGTGATCTCTCATGACTATAGGCTATGCATTCTTAACTGGAATACAGTACTATAATGTAGTGATATATCCTCCAAGTATAATGTCTTATATTAATGGTATTAAATTTTGATAACCTGGTCAAGATGCTGTCCAAATTCTCTGATTTATAATTATTAATTTCCCCATGTAATTATATTGGAGATAGCTTAAAACCACACAAATATCATAGTTTCTCATTGAAACTGCCCTCCAATTTAGGATCCATTGATAATTTTTGCTTGTTTGTATGGTGATTGCAGAATTCTGACTTGTTGACTATACCACACTTACATTTACCATTTAGCCCTTGACATTCTACTCATTAATTCATTTTCTTCCTTCTTCTTACAATTAATTACCATTCCATTATTTTTTGCCATCTAACAAAGCAGTTTATGGACATAATATATCCTCATCAATGTCATCCCTTACATTCTCCCTCATCCTTCTCCACACATGCCTTCCCTCGCTCTTCTTATTTTTGTAGGATATACATTGACTATATTCTCTCTCTGTTCTCTTCATTCTTCTAACTCTTTGCCCTTGACCTCATCCCCACTCCTTCTGGTATTTCATGTTGCTGAACTTTGATTTTGCCTTTCTAAGGAATTAAACTATTTTGAGTTCTCATTTGATCAAATTGACCCAGAATTAGTCAGTATAAATAAGTTCCTTCAGCTGGCTTCTGCATCCTGATGATGAGTCTTCCCATTCTTAATAATTTCATTTTATTTTTTTGTGTATGTAGAATAGTGGCTAGTGACATGATAACAAAATCAAAAACTGCATACCGAAAGCTATATTCAGAGAACTGTTACAGGATTCAAGATCCTATCTGCCCAACCACATTATTTTCTGGTATATCCTTTGTTTGTTTCCTTTTGTAAAGATAAGCAAGTAGATATGCTTTCTTATTTCCTTTCTGTCTTATGCAAAAGTACTCGAGGTCATTTCATAAAGATCTTGTTTTGGGGGTTTTGTTTGGGGTTTTTTTGGTTGGTTATGGGTCTTAAACTCTGGGCCTGGGTGCTGTCCCTGTGCTCTTCAGCTGAAAGCAAGTGCTCTACCACTTAAGCCACAGCGCCACTTCTGGTTTTCTGGTAGTTTATTGGAGATAAGAGTCACTGACTTTCCTGCCCCAGCTGGCTTTCAACCATGGTCCTCAGATCTCAGCCTCCTGAGTAGCTAGGATTATAGGAGTGAGCCACCGGCATCTGGCTTCTTGCTTATTTTTTTGTAGCAATGTAGTCAATACTTCTATTTATGGGGCTGGGAATGTGGCTTAGTGGTAGTCTAGCAAGCATAAAGCCTTGGCTTCAATTTCTCAGTACCACATAAACAGAAAACACCAGAAGTGGTGCTATGGTTCAAGTGACAGAGTGCTAGCCTGAACAAAAGAAGCTTAGGGACAGTGCCCAGCCTCTAAGTTCAAGCCCAAGGAATGGAAAAAAGAAAAATCTTCTATATATGTATAATAGTACATTTAAACTAATTGCCTATTCTTGGACATATAGTTTCCAATATTATGTGGTTACAAGTGATAATACAATGATTAACTCCATATGTATATTTTCATACTATTGAAGATGTATCTTCCAGATAAATTCTTACAAATGTGGATGTAAGGGAAAGACTAAAGTACATATGCACTTTTGTATTTCAGTTGTTGTTCTTGGTTGTGGGGCTTGAACTCTGGGCCTGGGTGCTGTCCCTAAGCTCTTCAGCTCAAGGTGAGCACTCTACCACTTTGAACCACAGCACCACTTACAGTTTTCCGATGGTTAATTGGAGAAAGAGTCTCACAGACTTTCCTACCCGTGTTGGCTTTGAATCGTGATCCTCAGATCTCAGCCTCCTGAGTAGCTAGGATTACAGGTGTGAGCCACAGGCACCTGGCTTTTTCTGTTTTTTAAGATAGGGTTTATGTTGCTGAGGCTGGCAACATACTCAGCCTCCTGAATATGCAGGACTAGAGGCACTTGCCACCAAGCCCAGCCACGTATTTCCTTTTTCTTTTTCTTTTTTTGCCAGTCCTAGGGCTTGAATTCAGGGCCTGGGTACTGTCCTTGAGCTTCTTTTGCTCAAGGCTAGCACTCTACCACTTGAGCCACAGTGCCACTTCCAGCTTTTTCTGTTTATGTGGTACTGAGGAATTGAACCTGGAGCTTCATGCATGCTAGGCAAGCCTCTACATTCCCAGCCAGAGTATTATATTTTGATTCAAATGTATCTTGTACTATGCTGATTATCTTGCCAGTCCTGGTATATTTCTTGGATTTTGAGTGTTAGCTAATCATAACTGTACAATGCTAGAACTCTCCTTCTCATACCTTTCAGCCTTGCTTATTTGTTTTGTATTTTCAAAATCTCTGGAGAAAGGAATTACAAAGAAAAGTTACTTACTGAGTGGTGTTGTGTCAGGAGGTGGGAAATTCTCAGTAAAGTTGACATTACATAAATCTGTGCTACAGCAGCAAAAACGGTATGTTCCATTCTGAATTGAGGGAGGGGTGGTAGTTACTACACATTCTTCATAGTGACATTCTTGGGGATCTCCAATGTGAGACCAACATCCTATAAACAGTATTAGTTTAAACAAGTTAGAACAATATGATAAAGAAAAATAAAAAACAAATTGTAGTAGATATGAAAAAACAAGTGTACCTAAGTTATAATCCTCTAAACCAATTTTTTAAAATGACAAGGCTTACAACAGATACATCATGAGAAAGAAGGTACCAACAAAGGTTTAACTTGAGTTCAAACCCCATGACTACAAAAAAAAAAAGAAAGAAAAAGGAAAGAAATTAAAAAAACAAACAGAAGGGCTTAACTGTACCATTGTACTAAGAATTATTAAAGCAATTAACCATTTCAAATTTAATTAAATTGTTCTTGATTTTAAATATAAAATGTACAATCATAACAAGGACTGAGAAGACACAATTCATACAATGATGAACTGAATGTAAAAAAATGGTATTTTTGGAAAGCCCCATGAATTTTTTTTTGGAGGGTCCTGTAGTGGGCCTGAACTCTGGGCCTGGGCACTGTCCCTCAGCTCTTCAGTTCAAGGCTAGCGCTCTACCACCTGAGCCACAGCGCCACTTCCAGCTTTTTTCTTTTTGCTTATGTGGTGCTGAGGAATCAAACCCAGGGCCTCAAGCATGCAAGGCAAGCGCTCTACCACTGAGCCACCTTCCCAGTCCCCTATAAATTTTTTTATGCAGAGCTTTAACATACTCTTATTTTATAATCTAATAGTTGTATATCAACCAATCTAGTTCAAGGAAATAAACAGATACAATGAAAGATAGATGTTCAAAGTTATTCACGAAAGCACTATACACTATAGTCCAAGACTGAAAAAGTATAATGTCCATAATATATAAGTAAAATGTGATAAAGGTATACAGGGAAACACTGTGCAGACATTATATTTTCAGACTAGATAAATTATGGTAATTCTATAATTTCATACCTTTTTCATATCTTTTTTTCTTCATTAGAATTTGAAAAAAGGATATGAAACTATACAGAATAAAGTTTGAAAATACATGCATATGCAAACATAAAGGTATAGAAATAATACATTAAGGGATGAACTATGACAGCAAAAAAATATTCTTTATTATAATTAAGAGTTTTCTTTCAATATTGGGTTTGAATTCAGAGTCTCAAACTTGCTAGCATATTTCCAGACTTTTATTTTTGAAATACGGTCTTATTTCCTACCCAGTACAAGTCTGAATCACTAAGCTAGGATGACAGGCATGCACAACCACACCTGGCTATCAATTAAGGAGACTTGTAAACTGTTCTGCCCAGGTTGACTCCCCTAAGTATTTACATGCATGACCACTAGGCCTGGATTGTAAAAATATTTTTAAGAGTATGGAATTGTAAGCTTTTGCTTTTCTTTATAGGTTTCTGTATTTGTCAAGCTTCATTTCAGTGCATATTAACATAATAAGAAAAATGTTTTAAAGCTAAAAAATAAGTTTCCCTTTACAAATTTGAGACTTACAGGTGCATAAATACACATGTGTATAATTATGTACAGGTATATTTTAAAAATTTACCATTTGTCTGTAATGGGTTTTTATCTACATGAAACACAAAAACATTTACAAAAATAGTATTACTTGCCTTGCTTTACAAGATTTATGTCTCCTTTGGATTTCTCCCATAGGCCATAGCAAGTGCTACCTTTTGAGCACAATATTGTTCCATTTTCATGAGAGATTCTACTCTCACCTATCCCAAGGTCTTGTTGGTAAGGGTCTTTGAATGCACATAGCCGTTCTTGATTCTGGGAAGCTAAAATAAAGAAAGAATATTTTATAAAACCATCTTACTTGCATGATAATATAAATTTTTCTAATAAATCCTTCAAATTCAAATTACTGAGTAATTTATAACTTTCCATTTATTCAACAACTTTCTTCTACTCATTAGTTTGTAACATCTAAGCAGAAGCAAATTTTAAAACATCTCCCAAAGCACTCCCTTTTTACTCAAAATTCTCACCACTCCTCACCTTATGAAACATGTTTGTGTTCAAAGAAGAAGTATCACCGAAGAAAATATCCAAACTAGATACCATTAAAGTATTACAGGAAGGATTAGGGGAAACACTAGGCACAGGTTGAAACTTCTTAGGTGAAGATCCAGAGTCAATCAGGATAAATAGGATTGCATCAAACTAGAGTTTCTGTGTGGCTAAGGACATAGCTAGAAGGATAAATAGAAATTCCACAGAATGGGAGAAGATTTTTATCAGCTATTCATCAGACAAGGGCTTCATATCTAAAATATACGAGCTCAAAAATGTAAACCCCCCAAAAATAAACCCTCAAAGAAACAAAAACGCAATTAACAAATGGGTAGACTTAAAGAACAACTTCTCAGAAGAATGGCCCTCATAGACACATAAAGAAATGGTCAATATCTCTGACCATTAAAAAAAAAAAAGCAAAGCAAACAACATTGAGATTCTACAGTTAGAATGCCATTATTAAGAAAAGTAACAATAACAGAATCTGACAGGGATGTGGCCAAAAGGGAATGCTGCAAGCATTATGCTCACCTTTGGTCCTCAGCTCCACCCAGACCTGAGCTCCTACCTATTCTGGAGTTCCCACCCTACAGCTGGCCCCTCTCTCTCCCCACCCAGACCCACCTGAGCTCCCATCTACCTCACTTCCTAACCCCCAGACCCTGTTGCTACCTGAAGGTCGCCATGTGGTCTCTCTTGGTGGAAATATGGGAGGGATGTGATGGATCCTTTCAAATGCTACTACCCTGCTGATGGGAACGTAAACTTGTTCAACCACTCTGGAAAACAGTAAGGAGGTTCCTCAAAAGACTAAACATAGAGCTTCCATATGACCCAGCAATCCCACTCCCGGGCAATTGACCACAAACCAAGCCACACTAAAGTCACAAGCACAACCATGTTCACTGCAGCATTGTTTACCATAGCTAAGATATGGAATCAACCCAGATGCCCCTCAGTGGACAAATGGATCAAGAAAATGGAGTGTATATACACAATGGAATTCTATGTTTCCAAAAAAAAAAATGACATTGTTCCATTTGTAAGGAAATGGAAAGACTTGGAAAAACTTATACTAAGTGAAGTAAGCCAGACCCAAATAAACATAGGTTGCAATAGTTTCCCTAATCTGTGGTAACAGAATGTGCCTATAGATCTACAAGTAATCCAGTAAACCCAGTGGAGGGTAAAAGCCAAAAAAATTACACTTGGGCTGGGCAGCAGTGCTTATATCTGTAATCCTAGCTACTTAGGAGGCTGAGATCTGAGGATCACAGCTGGAAGCCAAATCAGGCAGAAAAAATTTGGAAAAAATTATATTAAGCAAAGTAAGCCAGACCCAAAAGTACCATGTGCCTATATATCTATAAGTAAACACACTGAATGGTAAAATACAAAAGTTCCACTAGGACATGAAAAATTATACAGGTCTCTAGACATTCGCACAGTGAGATTAAAGGAGGATCACAAAGGCTCAATAGTTATGGGCAGATGATCATATAAAATACTATTGATCAAAATGAACTCCAAGAAATGTAAACAAGAGGCTTTTTTCCTTTGTTGCTGTTTTTGTTTCCCATACCTTTTGTCTTGTTAGTTTATCTGTCTTTGGGATGGTAAAGAGGGGACACAGAAAGAGTAGGACAAAGGGTAATGCAGCAGTGATACTCACTAGACACTAGTTTGAAAATGAACTGTATAATTTGTGGGTAGGGAGAGAAGGGGAAACTAGGAAAGAGTAAGGAGAAGGGGTGACACTGTACTCATGACCTGACTTATGTAACTGTAACCTTTTCTATGTACATCACCTTTACAGTAACAATAATATATACATGCATTAATAAAAGAAAATATCAGCCGGGCACTGGTGGCTCATGTCTGTAATCCTAGCTACTCAGGAGGCTGAGATCTGAGGATCGCAGTTCAAAGCCAGCCCGGGCAGGAAAGACCGTGAGACTCCTATCTCCAATAAACCACCAGAAAATCGGAAGTGGCACTGTAGTTCAAATGGTAGAATGTTCGCCTTGAGCTTAAGAGCTGAGGGACAGCGCCCAGGCCCAGAGTTCAAGCCCCATGACCGACAAAAAAAAAAAAAAAGAAAATATCTAAGCTATCAACATTTACTTTTTATCTTTAAGTACTTGTACAAAGAGGTTTTAATTCAGTATGTCAATTTATGAGTACAATGCACCTTGGTCAATGTTGAGATGGAGTCCATCATTCTCCCCATTTCTCCTGGTGCTCAAGTTACCTGATTCCATTTTCATATTTATACCTTGAAAATTATTTTTTTTGGGGGGGGTCTGGTCGTGGGGCCTGAACTCTGGGCCTGGACACTGTCCTTCAGCTCTTCAGCTCAAGGCTAGCGCTCTACCACTTGAGCCACAGC